GTCCCTCCCAAAATTCAGTCTATCCTCTTCCAAGTTTTTTCATTCAGAGATTCTGCACCAAAAAAATCAAATGATGTCTCCAATAATTAGGACAGTTGGCTTTAACCTGATGTTGGCCCGTCCAACTCTTTGCTTTAGAAGTCTTACTAGAATTGGTAGTTTAAATGACTTGGACATCACTACACTAACCTGGCCGGTAAATGTACATTATATTATTTATACTAAACTGTTCTAATTATCCAAGATTAACATGTTAAAGGACTTCAAATTCCCAAGACTTACCAGTGTCATTGCCAATACAATCTATTATCAGGCAGATTCCTAAAGGTTGACTTTGCATTCTGTAAGAATCATCAGACATCTGAAAAATGTGAAAGGACAATTATAAAGTTAATACATCTTTTCCTCAACTTTTAGACCGCATTATTTTCTCAAATTTTATGTCAGATCTATTAAATAACATTCTGTTGTTTTTCATCAAGTAGCTAACAGAAATCTATCTACTGGGTTGTAATCTACACAACAAAAAATCAGGAGATATGGACTAATGAGTCTTTTCCCTCTATTTCTAGTACAGGTTTTGTTTTTGTGTCCTTGTGTTATGCAATCTCACTACCATAAAGATTCTTAAACAGAGACTAAAACTGTACAAGCTTCATACTGCCAACACAATAAATGTAGAGAACTTTTGTGTTCTTCGGGTGTGCAAGCAACCATTGCTCATCAGAAAATTTATTTCTTTATTTAGTGGAACAACCTCCTTATTCCTAAATAATCCATAATGACTCTATCACAATTCCTCTCCCCTCTGAAGAGAATTGTTTGAAGTAAATCAATTTGTTACAGGTTGGCTCCTGACCTACAGGAGAACTAGTGAAAATAGCAGCTGGCCATTCTTATCATTAATACCCAAAGCATGTCTGTCTTCTGCCTGGAGAGCAAGGTGTGAGGAGGGAATCAAGAACAAAATTTACTGTGTGCAAAGAAGCTCTGTGATTTCTAATGCATGTGGCAAGAGGTCTGAACCCAAACTGTTCACTGGTCTGAACCAAAGTTTAACTTGGCCTACACTTATAAATGTACAAGTTCTGTGTGCATATCATATATACATGCATTTTGCACACTGCTGCTTGCAGAGTAGATGCAAATATTTTATATTTAAAATATATTCTGCAAAAATAATTCACAGAATCTGTTTATGGCTGAGGACATACCCATTGTTCTGTCTGCACACAACTCAAGGAAATTTCAAAATGAAACACAAAGAAATCTAAGGTAAATACTCACAGAGGTTACATTTATTTACATGCATACATATACACAAGCACATACCTTATGTGGCACTGATCCCGACTCCTGAATGGACATGTGAACTGGTTCTGCTGCAGTTAAAACATACAGAAGTAATCTCAGTATTTAAGAACAAGTGATATTTTTTTGTCACCAGAGCAGTTATAAAGAAGAATGTATCTACCTCAGCAAAGTTCTCACCCATCAGCACCTCTTAGTTTCTATGTGTGCTACTAACATTTCAAAATCCCTAAATTATTCACCTCTAAAATGTTATGTGGATTTCATTCTACATTGCTTAGGACTAGAAGAAACAAAGAATGTCTTCTACACTAAAAGAATTCAGCCAACTAATTTTAAAAATCACCATATTTGAGAGGTATTTGGTGTTTCCAGAGAAAACACAGTACGTATGGAAAGAACCTGGTATTCAATGCACAACTTCCTGGCAGCCCTGGTGGGGAGTTCACTGCTGAGCTGACACAAAAACTTTCTAGTCCAGAATTAATGGGCAGAATTGCACTACACAGGCCTCCAGAGCTGGCTAGTCAATCTAATCCATGGTTTTACTAATAAAGTATTTATTCTGTTAGGAAGATTTGACAGTAGCTTACAATTTTTAAGAATGTTTTAAGATGTGGCAGCACAAGCAAAGCAAATACAAGACAAAACAGTAAGGCCAGGCTCAGTTCTGAGAGGTATGAAGCACTCTCTGCTCCTGATGTTATTAACAGGATTAGCCAGGAGCACAACTATCAAACAACAGTCCTTTCGATGTAACGAAATTCATCATTTGGCTCTTCTGGCTTATCAAAACTTAGATAAAATGCTCTTACCCAGAGTAAGACTTGATCCATTTTGTAATCTTTCTGTGTTCTCATTCTGAATCTAAAATTAAGAAAAAGGCGTAATTTTCCTATTCTCCTTCAAGAACTAACAAATGTGTTCTAAAACAAAACATCTAGTATTTCTTCTTCAATAAAAGGATATTTTAGATTAATTTCTATCAGCTAAATAGAATTACAACATAACAAATTTAAAAAAAAAAAACCTACCCAGATCATAGACAATTAAACACCCAACTGTTCCTCCTCCTCCTCCTCAAAAAAAAAATCACCTGCTTGTCATGGACAGCAAGGAAAAACCTCTAAAGATGTGAGCTTTGATTCCTATACAGCAGAAGGGAGCTGCATGTGTTTATGTGTTTACTGAACTCATAAAAACAAATTTAGCAAGGTGAAAGACTTCAAGAAAGGTCATCCTAATACAGTATCAGAGCTAACCCAAATATAAAGAATACTGCATGCAATAGGATTTGATGACTTTTCAGATACTGAGATATCTTCTTAAACTGAGTTTAAAACAAGCCACAAAAAAACCCCTGAAAAACTCTTCTTAAAAAAGCTGTAATTTTCAGCTTCAAAAATTAAAAGCTACTTTCCCTGAAAGGTCCAGAGGTATAAACAAGAAGAATATTTTTTGCAAAGAACAGTCAAAGCAAAATTTTCACTCCACAGTGTAGTACAGAAAGACTTTCAAGATACAGATTTTATATGTTCAACTAATTGGAAAAAATTCACACAAGTCCTTGAAAGGGCATCTTTCTCAGTCAGAAGATTTAAATCAAATCCTAACTCAGCAAGTAACAGGAATAACAGAAATAAACCAAGCAATATTTTAGTCACTAGCAATCTCTCATTCCTCAGGTTCTGAAAGATGGATCTCCTTTTAAAGTCTGGCAATATTTAGAAATAAAGGATTTGTTTCACTTCTTGTATACTTACCCCTGAATGATAAGGAGGATCAATCAGATTGAGATTAGGGAGAGAGGCCTGATGAGCATTTACATATACTGGCTGAGAATGAATGGAGGACACTGAAGCTGCAAATTTAACAGAAACACAAATACACCATGATATTTCAATGGTTTTAAAAATCTAAATCTATGAGGAATGCAAATGCCCTTATTTTTAAGTCAGTTTTATCTTCAGCACATCTGATTGCTGCTATCAAGAGTAACCAGTGCAAAAAGAGCATCTTACCTTCATGCTTGTACTTCTGAATCTTCCTAATCAAGTCTATCCTGTGAATACTTCGAAAACAGTTTTCTATCAAATCCAGTTGATTGGGAGCCACCAAATTTAGCTTTTCCAGGTCAATGATAAGAGCTAGAAAACTCTAGAATAGCAACATAAACTCAAACACATTAATATTTTTTCTCCACTAGAAGTAACAAAGCAACCCAGAAAATACCATGGAAAGGTCATAAAGGCTGTATAAACAATTAGAGACATTACACCTTCTAAGAAAATTATCTGAGAGACATATGAATCCTTGATATTATCACAGGAATAACAGCAACTACAGAGTGATATTCTTAAAAATCAATCTTAAATTTTTGAGGAAACAGTTTTGCATTTTGTTTTTGCTACAAAGCCAGCTACTGGGAATGACACCTCACATGCCACAAAGCAAGAGGCAAGAAAAGCTCTGGGAAATTTTCAGTGCCTCTCTCCTCTGACTGAAGATAAAAAAGGGAAAAAAACTCAAAGGAAGAAGACAAATCTTAAGTCTTCTCTGCACAGTGGTCAAGGTTTCTGAATCCTCTCTACTGAATTTCTGCTTTCTCAAAGCACTTAATACAATATTCAGAATGCAAATTCAGAAAAATACAACAATATTCAGAATGCAATTGAGATAAATATTCAGCATGCAAAGGTATAAAGACGTAATTACAATATATCTGTTCTTTTTTGAGTGAAGCACAGCACTAACAAAAAGTGACCTTGTAATTCAATACACAGTTCAAATGGTTATTGGTTTGAGATCACTTATCTGAACTTTCAGGTCAGAAATACTGAAGACTTTAAAATGTCTTCTGTTCATGAAGTTCATTCAACCACCACACATTATAACATGCACTGTTCCCTCTTACTTTTTTACTAGTTTTCCATTACTTTTTTACTAGTTTTCCAGGCTTCTTTCCTTGAATTAAAAATTAACAAAATGAAATAGAAGCCACAACTTCTTCTCTGCTTCCTAATGTTCATATACTCCTGCCTCAATAATCCTTGCAGTACTGTCTTCTTTCCTTTGCTGTCTAGCTACTTATTTTTTTACTTTAATGTCTCTTTGCTCCACAGAATGCCATCAGGAAAACATACCTTATCTTTTGCCATTTTCATACGAGGTGCATAATCTCTGAGTAGAAAACCAAGAGAACCCACTTCATCTTTTTCCAGATTTTCATTTATCTCTACCATTAATACCCTAAAATAAAGTTGAGATATTTTTAAAGGATTAGCTTGCAGCAAGATTCCTCCCTTTCCCAACTACTCAACTTCTCCCCATGTTCCAGTCTTAATCTACCATTTCTAACTAATAAACAGGCAAAAAACCTATACTGGTTCAAGATCCAATAAATAAAATATCTACTCTTGCTAATCTACACCTGTGTTTTTCAGACTGACAGCGTAATAGTGTAACAGTGTTAGGAAAACAGAAGTTTCCTTATTGTTTAATAGAGATGAAATGAGAGAACAGAACACATCCTTAACTTTTTTACCTATTAGTTACAGGGTATTTATTTTAGTAAGAATTTAATACAGGAAAATCTTCCTTATGAGTACATGGATTTCTTTCTAAGTCCCTCAAAGAAAATAACTGGAATTTCTTCATTTAAGCCCCTCAAAACTAATAGAGTAAAATGAGTAATAGAGAGGTCCCTTGAGAAATGCTATACCACATAGCTATGTGCCCAAAGCAAAGTAGAAAAGAAAATATCTCTAACCGATTATATTCCTTTAAAGTCTCATTTTTAGCTGCTAATCTAGAACTCTACAAACATCACTGGCTTCATTCACAAACTCCTTAAATACAGATGTTTCTAATGCCATGACTAGTAACAAACTACTAAAATTTAATTCAGGGACTAAACTTGACATATTCTTTTAACTATAACTCTAGATATAATGTCCTTTTCTGCTTTTCTTCTACCTTCAATAAATATTCTCTGAATCTGTGAAGTATTAAAAAAATTAATAAAAAAAACAACTCGCCCATACTGCCCCCCTCCAAACAGAAGGAAAAAAAAACCCACTTATTTTGAACAAAATAGCATAGCTTTAAAATCTGAAATAGATACATTACCTGTAATCAGGGATAAGTCTGAGACTCCTGGCAAGGTGAGCTTCCACTGATGCTTTCTCAGTGTTCAGGATCCTCCTCAGCAAGTCAAACCTCTTAACTCTGTACAACAGCTCAGACAAGCCAAGAGGAGTCAGTTTTTCTCTCTCATTCAAAGCCACCAAGATCTCTTTAAGATCAGCAGTGGCCAAATCAGGAGCAAGATCTCGGCACAGGAAAACCATCATCTCTTCTTCTTCTTTATCCAATTCTTCTTGAATCTGATGAATAAGGAAAGCTGGAACTTGGCACCTGGTCATCACTTTGTTGCTTTTCCTTTAAAATTGCCAGTCTATTGGTTTTTAAACTGGAAAGCAACATGGCATGAAGCCTGTGTCTACCACAGCACTTCTCTTGTGTTCATTCTTAACTAGGTGCATTTTTACAAGGGCAGTTCTGTGGGAGAGAATTAAAAGGCAATAAATCAGTGATCTGCTGCACAAGTTCACAGTTAACTCTCCTATCTGAAGTATTTCAATTAACACTCCAACACATGCTACAGACCTCCTTTATTCAAGGGACTCTCCCAGTCGTTCATTACAAAACTAAAAGTATTTGGAAGGTCATTTTAATCAGAAAGAAATGCAAGCTCCTTTTAGAGTAAATTACCTTCATATGAGTCTGTATATTCCATAGGAAGTGAAACAAAAGTCATCAGCTTGCTGGTGGGTGGTAGATTAAGTATTTCTGAAAGCTCTGCCCTCTTCCGAGCAACAATGTAACATGTAATTTTTAAAACACTAACGATTTATAAATTCAGGACTGTGTGGATTTTCTTATTATTAACATCATTTAAAGTGATTCCAGTCTGGGGTTAAAAGGATTTTCCACACACACTCTCCATGCTCAAAGAGATTGAAAAGCCACTCAAAGAAAATACTCCAACCTTAAATATGCAAATTGGTAAATTCTGAAGGTATAGATAAGCCACAGACCACCTTTTTTTTCATTAAACGTTCATGTACCATTATACTGGAAAGTGGAATAAAAAAATTCAAATCTAGAAAAACCCCCAGCCCTGTGATTAACAAAATCAGTAGGGTGCTGTGCTCAATTTCCACTGTCACCAACTATGGAAATTCTATCTAACCTCCTCCGATCTCCATTACATACATGGAGAAACAGCAGATGAACAAACCTAAAGACAAATCTTAGCCCTTCCACAGAATTTTGATCACTATACTGCAGGATTTTATTTAAACCACACTGGAAAGCAAACACCAATTCAACTTCAAAGCCTAATATACCAAAAGATTCTAGCACCTGAGTAAGATTTTTTTTTACAGAGTAAAATCTTACTAAGATTTTCATCCTTTTGTTACACGTTCTGGAGTTCCAGTCAAAAATGTTGCATGTTGTGTCCATAATTAAGCAGGTAAATTCATCTAAATTCATCTAAAACAGAAGAACCCCTCATGTACTGTAATGTGTTTCAGAAAGTTTTCTATCAGAAGAAAAGCATATTTATTGCTAACTTGTTTTCAATCTAGTGTCAAACACTTGTGAGAATTCTACAGAATGACACTGTTCTCATGACATAATGCAGTCAAGAAGGGGGAGGCACAAAGCACCTTCATATGAAAGTATCTCTCAGGTACATTCAGCTGGGACTTTCAAAAGAACTCAAAGTTAACTCTAAAGCGAAACAGGAACTGAACAGCTTTTCGTCATTTTTGGAAATACCAGAAAAACTTTTTAACTATTCCAGTTGATTTTTATCTAATCTTTTAAAACTAGTTAAAAAAATAGAGGGGGGGTATGTGTTAGGGAGGAACTTCCTACTGAGTTGGAATTTCAGGCACGCAAAATTACTATTTGTATGTTAACTTAGAAATAATCTGCCTTTAAAACACACATATGAATCATCTCCTTTCATGAATTTCCCTATATATGGTACATCACATGCCCACTATAAAAAAATTGCTAATTATACTCTCAGTGTTGAAATTATCTTACTACTTATCTATGTAAATCTGTTCCTAAGAAGACTGGGAAACCAGCATTTGACCACTGCCAAATCACTGATCCAGATCCAGCACACACTGATTTCCATCCAGGATTTCCCAGTGATTACATCAACTCATTCTCTGTTGGACAAATACCAAGATCACAAATTACTGTGAGGGGCCTACTTCCTAATATTATGGGGAGGGGAAAACCAAAGAAAAGGACCAAGGGTAATTCTTCTGTATGACTGCAGTGAACCAGAAATGCTCTAAATAAAAGGAAAACCAGCTGTGCATATACATTCATTGGGCACTGCATAGGGAATGAGTAAGAGCAAGGGGAAGTGATTTTTTAGTATAAACAGAAACAGTTTGTAACTTTTCATCCTAAAGCCATGTGCCTGTATTTTGATGCAGGAATGTCACAGGACCAGGGCAATCCTGATACATTCCGTGTGTGAAAATCTTAGCCTGATCCACTCCATCATAAGAGATTAAGGACATCACGTTCCACTCCTCCATCTGATGATGACTTTTTCAAACATCACAGATACAATTATCATAGCTGCAGAAGTTGAAATAAAAAAGCAATCACAACATAAACCCAGCAGCCTAGCTTTTGATTATCTGGGCTTTGTAACAAGATGACTTATTGAATGTAAATTCTCTACAAAGAGGAGAGAAAAATCAGCTTATCTGCTAAGACAAAATAAAAGAAGTTCATAGTCATCATAGATAAAGCTGCCTCAATAATTTTCGTGTTCATGAGAATATCTAATTAGGCTTTTGTTTGGTTTTTTTACATACTTTCAAAGGAGCAGGAAATAACATACTAAAATTTTATACAAAGATGCACAAGGCTCCAGTTAACTCCTTGCTGGCATTTTGTATCTTGAATCTTTAACAATCATCTTTGCAGCAACAAAACCAGGATATGACACCAGCGGGCGTCGTTCTGATTTGATAAATTCTGTTTCTTCCACAAGACGAACTCGTGTGGAAGGCCCCGTGCTGGAAGGAGAGAACACAAGGCGGCACCGCCTGTGCTTTGTGCTTGCTCTGCTCTGCACTGTTCGAAGAGACGGAGATGGGGGAACGCCTGCACTTGGAGCCAGGCCCATCTGGCATTTTTTAAAGTTACACAGCATGCTCCATAGCTTTCAAATTTCCCTATTTCCTCACTGCCTCACGCCCTCTAACAGGACTTGCACAACGTACGCAGGAAACCAAGGAATTTCCGCAGGAACCATCGCATTCCTTACTACGCTTGAATATACTCGAATATACTTGAATAACTCTGCTGATATAAACCAGTATGGGCCACAGTCATTTGTTTTAACATCCCAGTCCTCCTAATTAAAACAAAACAAACAAACAAACAAAAAACAACAAAAAACAACCAAAAAATCCTCAACTACTAAACGTGGTTTATGCAGATTTCCAGTCATCTTCCTAAGTACGTCGTTTTAAATCTCACTCGGTTTCGGTTCGGTCAGGAGCCAAGGTCGAGCTCAGGCCCCGCTTGCGCCGGACGCTGCGGCTCTGCGGGACGCCGCTCCCCGTGAACAGGGACGGGCACCCGACCCCGGAGCACGGGACGATGCTCAGGGTGAGAAGTGGGAGGGAAAGGAGGGGAGGAAGGTATAACGCACCCAGACACGTCGGGGAAGTCTCTACCGCAGCCTGGTCCGGCGTTTGGAGCAGGGCGGAGGCGGGGCGGTACCGGCCCACAAGCTGCCCTGCAGGATGTTGGTTTTAGTTTTGTTTCCGCTGTACCCCTGGACACAGAAGTCGGGGCCGAGCAAACAGAACCGCCCAGCTCCCACCGGATTGGAGGCGGGACAGGGCCTGCGGCCTTCCCGGCACCTCCCTCGGCCACTCCGGTGGCGGCGGCGCGGTCCCGAGTTCAGCGTGGGTTCGGTTTGTGAGGCCGTGTTTTTGTCCCACTGCTGGTGTGGGGACAGACAGAAAGGCTGTGTTGGCTAGCAGGGTTTTCGGTGAGGTTAAAGGTCTGCGGTCAGTGTGGGTACGTGTTTTAGCGGGAGTTTAGCCGTAACCCCTTGTATGGCTCATGTCTCAATTTGTTCGTTCACAGTGAGCATAATTACAGCTGTGTGAAAGTTGCATGCTTCCCGTTGTATAATCTTAAGTAAATATTGCGTAAGGCCTTGTTCCTGAAAACTGCGTGTTGCTATTCCCTTGATATAAACGAGCAACTTTCATGTTGCGGTATGCTAGCATTGCAGCTGGAGCTGCTCTTCAAAAGGCCTAAAATCTAAAGTTTTTCTGCTGAACTAGACAAAAGCCATCTCCATATATGGTGAAATCAGACACATATAACTCCCAGCTCAATGGATTTCAAAGCATTTACGAAACAGCGAATCACTTTTTTTGGTGCTGCTAAAAACAGCAGTGGAAGCGCAGTACTCTGGGATAGCACACATGAAGAGTCACGCTGTCTTTGGAACTGCAGGGAAAAAGGAGACAGAAAATACTCACCCACACTAAAATTTGTACCAAGTGGCAGCTCTGTGTTCTGAAAAAACACTTGTATTCTTACTGAAATTGTATGGTCAGGCTCTCACTGTAATATCAATCATTCAAGGCTATCATGGTGTCCCTGCTATTAAGATGTAGCTGATTCAGAAGGAAACCAGCTACCTACTGTGAGTCAATATGCACAATTGCTCCTTGGATCTGTTCCATACACATTTCTACCTCTATTTCAGAAAGTGGAGCATCATGAGTTTTATTTTTCAGACCTTATGATACAAAAAGAGCTTCTTGACTGGTATTACAATCACATATGTTCCTTGCCTGCTGGTGCCACTGCTGTTTGTGACCCTGGTTTTTGCACTGTAAAATATCTATTCTGGTAGAAAGGCTGTTTTAAAATAAGCAGAGCCATTACTATGGTTACAGTGAAGACACATTTGGTACTATTATTTTAATACACAGGAAATACTCCGTTCCCCAGGCAGGATTGGTATTATTATACCTGTGAAAGACAATCTTTATGAGTATTGTATGTATAACAATGATGAGACATATTCTACAAGATTAGCAAAAGATGTTCATTGTAAATTAAAGACAGTTATTTAGGGCAGTGGCTGCCATCTGGCTATTAAACCACCAAATGATACCACCTTAATTAAGAAATGCATAAATTTTACCAAAACAAGTCTAGTCTAGCTGAATATGCTTGATACATTTGCTGTATCAGTGGAGGGCTTATGCAATTTAAAAAGACTAAGTCTACTGCATGTAATTATTAACATTAGTAACACAGTAACAATTATTAACATTGTAATAAAATAAAGGTTGTTTTCCTGAACAACCATCTGAAATTCAGTACTCCCTAGAAAGTTGTCTTGGAACCAGACAGAAAACAAGCAGTGAGTACCAGCCTTTGAAAATGCGTATTCTGGGTAGGAGTACCTAAAGGACAACAGAAATGTTTTGTGCAACATACCTTACAGAGTAGATTCTTGGTTTGTTTTTCAGGGAATGATGCAACTGGATAGGAATGTTTGAGAAAAGGATTAGGCAAGAGTTTACTAAAATGAGTGTTTGCACTCTGAACAGTACCTTGAGCAATGTCATACAAAGATGACAAGCTCCACTGAACAGTACATCTGCACTCACACAGTAACAGATGTTGTTTATTGGCTCTAAAAATAAAGCTCTATTATAATCTCACTCAAAAGCATTGTCTGTGAATATATATGTTTAAAAAATAGATATTTTAGCCATGTTTGGTAGGACCTTCAACATGTGCAATTTGTGACAGGATGTTTAAAAATTTCAATTTCTTCACCATGGAAGTACACTATGTAATTGTTTAGTGGCATTTACCATTTCTCACTTGTCTAATTTTGCTTTTCATTTTAGTGACAGATGTCCTGTTGTTTGGATTGAAAAACTACATAATATATCCTCCTTACTTTGCAACTAATGGCATAACAAAATTGACAGTAGGATATTCAGACAATTATAATTCCTGGTACTGCAGAGGACATATACTGCTCACAGGTCCTTTTCTACTATAGTCTTCAGTCCAGGCATTCTTACAGCACTCCAGAAGCTGCCAAGATAATTTAAGAAAAACCAGGACATTTAAAACAAATTGCTAAAAGAGAGTAGATGCAAAAAATAAATTAATCTATAAATACACCAGAGTAAAGGAAAAAATTTTTCTCTTTTTTCACATTACAGTCAAGTATGCTAGAAAACATTATAGAATAAGGTACAGTTACTGCTGAGTTAAACATTTTATTCTACTTTTGGCAGCAGTGTAATTTTTGATGTCTGGATATTACACAGCAGATTATTCTGGTGCATAGTGTCTGCCAGGCTAAATAACTGTTCAATAGGGTTAAGTATAAGCTTTGGTACTTTCATATACTTTGAGGCAGCCTGGAGTTGGTTTTAAAGCTTTAAGTTAATATTTATTTTTATTTAGAGAAATAAGAGCGAATAGTAACAAACACTTCTAAGAAGTGACAAGTCATTCATTACCACTTACTGGGAAATAATAGTTATTAAACCTGTAATAAATATGGAAATATGGAACAAATTTTGTCTTAAAAGCAACAAACTTCTCAGTTTCATTTAAAAGAATCTTGGCAAGCTTGGGAAGAGCTGGTCTGATAGTTTATCTAGTTCTTTAGAGGATAGTACAGCAAACCCAGGAGCCATCTTGGGTTGTTTTTTTTCCCCAGATCAAAGCCAGTTAAATTGCTCTGGCTGTGTTTTTTGATCCTTCCACAAAAGTCTAATAAAATCAAAGAAACATGGGTCTGCCTGTGGTAGACTTTAATATGCAGGTTGTAAGTACAGAATGAGCATCAGGCTTATGTATGCTTCAGCTTATGATTAGTATTAAGTTGTCATATTTGATCTTCAGTGGTGGCCTCCATTCTTCTTTGGAGGAAACAGTGAGTATTCAATGCCCAGAGCTATGATGAAAGCTGCAGCTCCCCACTTGAATCCCCTAGTAAAGATTTCTGTTATGGTGATAGGTCTTGCAAAGCTGCCCTGGTATCTCCAGGCTTCATTACTAGAAAGGAAAATGGAAAGAAAAAAGAAAAAAGGTCACTGGAGCCACTGTGATACAAATGAACAAGAATATATATATATATATATATATATATATATACATACACATATATATACATACACATATAAAAGAATGATGAAGGTATTTCAGTTAGATAGACATTGAAGCTGTACAATATGTTCTGTCATTTAAGCATCAGGAATTTCAAGTAAAGTTTATGATATGAACTCTAATCCTTACCATGTAACTTGAGATACAAGTACTGCCAGTAAACCACACAATTATATGAACAGAATCACCTCCCTGAAATAATGTAATTGTATTCTTCTGTTTTTACTCTGTAACAAATCACAGCCCACTAGCACTTGCATGGATTGGACTAACTACAAAGGCTAGTCACTGTACTAGGCAGTATGTAACACAGTCAAATCTTCAGACATCTTAGTGTGGAGGCACACAATACAACACTTAACTATATAAGAGTCAGATGATTTTAAAAAGAAAGATGGGAAATATGGTGTTTAGCTTGAGCTACAGAGTATGTACAAACTTCACACTGTTGTGCCTTGCTGTTTTCAACCTCTTGTTATTGAAACATTAGTCACTGCTCTGGCTACAAATATTTATTTATTTGTAGAACAAATGTGTGTAATCTATGGAGATGGGTGTAGTTTGTCTCTTGTAAGGACTCAAAAGTCCTTAAGAAAAGGAAAAAGAACCAAGCAATAAAATAAGAACTGTCATTTTGGGAGAAGAGATGGGGGTTTAAGCAAGGGGTGTAGATATTTGTGTTCACAGATAATCCTCTTGTGCAGATGGATTTTGTGGCTTGGGATGAAAGCATATCGGCATGGAAGAGTAACTTCTAGGTGCCAGTGTAGGGTCTAATTGATACAGACTTAAAGTTTACAATTATGACATCTTTCACAAAGCTTATTTTGTATTTAATATGTACATTAATATGCATTTGCCATAAAGGTTGAAAGCAGATTCCCTGTTAAAATGAACTCAGCATACCAAAGGGGAGGGAGCTCTGGAGAGGGAGACTTTTTCAAGACTTGTGCAAGACATTAATAATTCAATCTTCTGCCACACTACTGAAGCAAGTAGCGTGATACTTTAAGTTCTCATTTATTAAGGAAGAGTGGCATGATACTTGTACTGTCCTATGGAATTGACGTACTACTTTATGTAAAATTTAAAAAGTTCAGAAGGAATCATCTCATGGTTTGGGTTTCACTTTTTTCCTTATTTGACCCCTGATGATGGGCTCAATTATTGGCTCAATCCCCTTCTTTTACCAGAGAAACAAAAATTTTCTCTTATCTTGGAGGGACAACAAATATTATGGTGTCTTTTGCAGTGTGTTGTTTTGCAGCCCTTCCTGAAATTGAAAGCGTAGGTATTAAAGGTCAGGGTAATTTACACTAAACCTCCGATATTAAACTGTTTTTTTTTTTTTTTTTGTTTGTTTTTTTTTTTTTTTTTTTTTTTTTTTGGGAACAAGTGGATTGCTTGCTGAAAACAATTTTGTTTGAACCAAAGGGAAAACAAGCTTATGCTGCTTGCACTCCACAGAAATAGAGGCAAGATAAATGTGACACAGGCCTAGAAAATTCATTAAGGGCTGGTATTTCAAATTATTCTTATCATCATTAAAAGTATGATTTATGCTTACATCTTTAAACTATTCCAAAGAAATGAAAACAGTGCTGTCAGCCTGAAACCCCTCCACAGGTTAACAACTTTTTTAAGAGATTATCTATTTGCTCTTCCATTTTCCTTGTAGTGATTCACAGTAAAGCCTTTTCTATGAAGACTACTGGAACAGTTTGCTCATGTGGCCTTTCCCTTACAGAAGGGCCAGACTACTCAGCACAGGA